TCCGCAGGCAGCCCTCTGATGGCCACCTTCAGGCTTCGCTCCGCTGGTAGGGAGTAGGAGAACCAGGCTATCCCCTGGGTCCTCTCCAGGTCTGTGAGGTAGGCCTGGATACTCCTATACTCCACGTCGGAGCGTGGCGTGAAGCGCACTCCTTTGCCGAAGGGGCGCGCGTTGGGCGCGTGTCCCAGCCGCTGCCTCAGCGCCGCGAAGTGCTCGACCCAGTTGGGGAGTTTCTCCACGATGAGTGGTGGGTAACGCGCCCTGGGGGCGGGGGCGCTGGACGGCGCGGGCGCGGGGGCGCTTGTCGGCGCGGGTGCGGCGGCGGTTGTCGGCGTGGGTGCGGGGGCGCCGATGTTGCCGGCGGCAGGAGTCTTCGGCGCGGTGGCGCCGGCCTTTGCAGGTGTGGGGGCGCGTGTGCCGGTGGCGGTGGGCGACGCAGCGGCTGCGTACGTCGCCTTTGGCGCGACCACTTGCTGGGGCGGCGCGAATGGTGGCAGGATGGGGGGCGGGCGGAAGGGCGGCGAGGTGTAGATGGCCTGCCGCTTGCCCGCCGGCTCCTTGGTCGGCGAGGGAAAGCGTCCCGGCATGTTGTTGTCCGGGGGCGCAGGCAAAACAGGTGCGGCGCGCGGGGGCGCAGCGCTTGGGGGCGCGGGCTGAGTAGGCGCAGTCGCGGGCTGGTGGGGCCTCTTCGAGCGCGGCGGAGCTGTTGAAGTCTTCGACCCCGACGGCGGTTTGTGGCTCGTTTTCGAAGCCGAGGTTGAGGTGGTGGCGTGGGCGCGTGCAGCTTTGGCCGTAGCGTCGGCAGGCTGCGCCAGCGCGGTCCTCAACGGGGACCTTGGAGTAGGCCGAGGGGTTGCGGACGTTGCGGCGGTTGGGTGTGTGACACCCATGTCACGAGCCGCGGTGGTGGGGCGTGGGGGTGCCACGTCCATAGGCTCTGGCGCGCTCGCGGTTCTCGCCGGTGCGGTCCACGAAGGTGGGGCCGTATGTGGCGGCGGCGAGGGCGACGCCGGGGTGTCGGGGGTCGAGGTGGGGGGGGGAAGAATTCCTCCCCCGCTCCCAGGCTTCCGGAGGCCGTGCGCGACATCGATGCGTCCTCGGGCGCCTCGGACCATCGCTGCACTGCAGCCCGTATGTTGACGCGCTGCGTGGGCCTGTGGTTCTTGGACACGCGCCCCTGTTCCTTCCGGTCCCGGTTGGGTTTGGAGGAGGGGCGCGGTGGTGATGGCGACGGTGCCCCACTTCCGTGAGGCATGATTGTTGCCGGTGGCTGCCACTTGCTGGCAAGCTGTGCACCGGGTGCGTCAGCAGGACTTGTGCTGCGTAGTGGCGGGTAGATGTAGTACGTAGCTTTGTTAACGGCGGCGACTAGTGCGACGTGTCAGTCGCAGACCCGCGCGGGGGACCCGCCGAGCCGGTACCCGGGGCTAGCCGCTGGTGGCTGACCGGGCACCGGGCGCGACGGAGGGCCTCGCGTGATCGGGCCAACGGCTGAGCACGCGCTGGGGTGGACGAGCCGACCGCGACCGAGCTTCGGGTAGTCTTCACTTTTTGCGGTCCGAGCGGTGAGGTACTTGTTTCTCCTGGAGACTTGTTTCCTCGGCGGCTGCGTGGCGAATCCCCACACACGTATATATATATAATAACACGTATACTATTCTGCATGTCTGTGATAAAAATTTCCGGTTGTGTGTGTTGGAGCAGTTAGAAATCTCCAAACATAATAATAATAGTAATTTTACACTGTTGAATGAGCAAACAAACTTAATTACATCCCCTCTTTTAAGTGTGATTACAGGTAGATCATAGTCGATGCAGGCGTCACAATGACGTTTGTGTCGATTGTATCGATTGTGTAATTGATGCAATCGATACAAAGACGTTTGTATCGATTATGTGTCATCACGACACTATATAAGAGGCGAGAGCTGTCGTACTAGCTCATTCGCAGCCGAGCGCTCGTCGAGTCAACATCTCCTGAGGATGCCCTGTGGAGGGGCGAAACACGTGTCGAGTATAGGTTTGATTGCGTGGCATGTTTTTCCGTTTTGTGTATGTGTGCATATGCATGTGGGCGGGAGGGTGGGACCCTTGCTGCATGTGCATATGCATGATTGCATAGGAGTGGGATTGCATCCTGCAACAAGCCTGGATTTTTGTCGCGGAATTAAAACTAAATATTTTCCCTAACATTTAAGGCCTTATTTTCATTACTATTAAGTTTAAATCTACTTGTTCGTTATGTGACGTTAAATACAATACATTCTAGTAGTTTCGACGCTACTCATTTAGGGATGCGACATATTCGTAAAATAGGTTCATATCGATAATTTTTTATCATCATCGTTCAGAAAATTGTTTTTGACAATTTTTGTGTATAATTCATAAATTTTTAACTAAGATTGCATAGACACATCAACGTTTTAACCACACACAGCGTGCATCCGTCTGTGGCAGGTGCGGGTGGTTAATCACCATTTTTATTTTATAACTAGTTTTCGCCAGCGGCTTCGCCCGCGTGCTGTGTTAATAAAAAGCAGCAAAAATCAATAGAACAAAATCTAAGTATACATAAAATTTGGTATTTATCGTCTCATTTTTATACATCTCCAATGGGTAAATACCCTAATAATTACTAAGTCTCCGCAGTCCGTCCGTCAATAGATAGAAAGGTACGGATCTAACTAATAGGTAAGAGTTACAAATATTTAATAAAACCTATATTATATTATATTTTATACCGCATCGTGTCGAGCACGGCAACCGCTACACAAAAATAATTCTTATACCATGATTCAGTGTTCACTTGCGACGGCGCTATGTCTTATTATCCGAATTGCTAAACTATCAGGAGTTACACGTGCTATTGTGAGTTAACCATAAAAGATAGACATATGCTGTAAATCATTTTTTTAGACAATTTAATTTAAAATATTTCCGTCATACAAAATTTCTATGTAAGTTTAAGGTTAAGGTTACACACGCGACTGAAACTTACAAAAGGGAGTAACTTCTCCCGTTTTCCCAACATTTTCCTTCACTGCTCTGCTCCTATTATTTGTAGCGTGATGAAAAGTATCCTATAACCTGCCCAGGAGTATAAAGAATAATTGTACCAAGTTTTGTTAAAATCCGTCGAGTAGTTTTTGTTTCTATAAAGAACATACAAACAGACAGACAGACAGACAGACAGACAGACAGACAGACAGACAGACAGACAAATTTTTTACTGATTGCATTTTTGGCATCAGTATCGATCACTAATCACCCCCTGGTAGTTATTTTGAAAATATATTTAATGTACAGAATTGAGCCCTCTACAGATTTATTATAAGTATAGATGTTGTACATGATTTTTATCAGAGTTCCAAAAAGGAGAGTGACTCTCAATTCGACTGTAACATTTTTTTTTTGTTTTTTCGTCTCCGTTATTTATGAACCGATTTTAATGATTCTATTTTAGTTGGAAAGGAGATAAAACTTGTAGGAGCGCGCAGTGCTTTCATATGTTAAAATCGAAATCTTTAATAATAACTTGACCACCTCCAAAAAACATTAAATCTTCAAAAAATATGTTAATATTTTTCTTTTTTTCTATTAGAACCTTTTTCATTACTGATCATTTGTAGGTATATCGTGTCGATAAATTATATTGCTCACACGATTACAAAAACATCGATATATTGGGATACCCTGCCCTATCTGAGTAGCAAAATAGTAAATGTCTATTGGTACAAGTGCATACAAATATGACATCTATTTCAAAGAAGTTAGCGTTTTGAATAGAATGAATTTGTTACAGCGCCATCTAATGTTGAGTGGCTGAACCCGTTTGTAAATTGTTTTATTTAAGTTTTTTACACGATAGACGCCTTTATTGATTGTGACATGTGAAATTATAACAACTTTCGCTCATTGTTATAAGACTCAATTTTTAACAACATTTAGAAGATGATTTGCTAAAGTTGCGTTTCATCTTTTTATCCAATTATATAGCTGTTTTTTATGTGTGTAATGGACAATTTGATTTGCGAATGTGTGATTTTGGCGACACTGGTTTTCCTTTTGAAAGAGTGTAGGGTCACTTCTACTTAATTTTCTGTTCTGTGGGGCTGAATGACATGCATACACTTTTTAACTTTTGATGACCACTAATTAATTTGGCTAACGTTTATATTTAAATATAGTGGTTTATTTAAAATAAATGATTTGTCTTTATCTTTACTTTCGAAAATTCGCTTTAGATTTTCTCTTTATCCTTTTGAATGCCATGGTCGGCCATACATAGGCGACAAGCAAAATGTACTATATATGACGTATTCTGGCGGCTATGTTCGACATAGGCAAATAAGACATTTTTTTAAAACGTTGCCCCTCACTTGCATTTTCTCCCGTGTCGTGGGTGCCTTTACTAACATACAATTTCACATACTCATGACACCCAAGACCCGAAACAACAATTTGTGGATCACACAAAGTGTTGTTCCGTGTGGGAATCGAACCTGCGACACGTCGCACAGCAGGCAGTTGTCCAGCCACAGCACCAACCGTGCAGCCAAAATTAAATTTATTTAAGTGTGAGAGAGTCAAGTTTCGGCACGAATGCGTGGTACCACGGCTCGACCGGAGTGGAACCACGGCTCGACTGGTGTAATACCACGACTGGATCGGAGTAACACCACGGCCTCACAGAAAACCGGTGTGAAACAACGACGCCATGAAAAGTGTTTCGCCGTGTGAGTGCGATTACCGGAGGCCCAACCCCTCCCCTCCCCCTCCTTTCTCAATCCTTAAATATTTGAATCCCTTATCCCTAAAAGGCCAGCAATGCACTCGTAAATACTTTAGTGTTGGGGGTGTCCATGGGCGGCGCTGATTGCTTACCATTAGGTAATCCGTCTGCTCGTGTGTGTATGGTGTAGGCCGTAAAAAATAGTCTAATTTGCGTTTGTTGTCTATAACCGACCATGGTATTCAATGCAATTAATCGCCCCCCGCAGATGGTACGACATGTCCCTGATGGTACTGTCGCAGCCGTCGCTGGGCATCGAGCTCCAGCTGCAGTCGCAGGGCACGCCGGTGCCGGCCGCCGCCATCGCCGCCGCCGCCGCCGCCACGCCAAGCGACTATGCGCACGCGCAGACCGGGTACAGCGTCACTATCGGATCTATCATGGCTGCTAGTTTACAGGTACTGTGAAAATTATTAAAAGTTACATTGGATGATTACTGACAAGTGATTGTAATTGACTACAATACTTAAATATGATATTAAATTCCATCTCACACAGTTTCCCCAAACGTTTTGATTTTTTTCAAATGATTTTCGACTTTATCACACTCTGTACAATAAAGTGGAAAATCTAAATGACCATATTAGGATAACTTAATTTACATTACACCCGCGCTATTGAAAGGTGTTGAGGGACAAGCGCAACAACGTACTGGTCTCAGCCTTTTAACAGGAGAAGGAATGGGGAGGTTTTTAGTCAGTAAGAGTCTGACACTCCCTCTGGCCTCACCCTGGGCGAGACGAAGTCTATATTTTTACTGGTCTATCCCCCAGGTTCCTCATACGCAATGGCAGGAGGCTTCGACGGGAGTATCTCGACGGGAACTGCTGCAGCTGACGGCGCGCTCGCTGGCCGGCTCATACAAACGGCTGCTCGCCGTCTCAGCTAACGAGGCGTAGGTGACGAAGAAAGAGAATAGACTATGTACAGTTAGTATCTATCTACTTATTACAAAGCAATATATGTTATAGGCCCATTCTCTTACTGTCTACCATAAATCATCATCCCCACCATCTCCAAGCCCGAACATCTTCCCCTCTATTCCTAGTCCCTCTTCTCTCCATCCCCTATCTTCCTGCCCTACACTTCCAATCTCCTTTCCCTTCATCCCTATCTACCTACATTTTATCTTCCATGATAGATATAAAGATTTTTGATACCACGGCCTCACAGAAAACCGGCGTGAAACAACCACAGCGTTGTGTTTCGCTGTGTGAGTGAGGTTACCGGAGGCCCAATCCTTCCATTCCCTCGACCCTTCCCCAATACCTAAATCTCCAAATCTCTAATCCCTTAAAGGTCGGCACTCGTAACTCCTCCGTTGCGGGTGTCCATGTGCGGCGCTGATTGCTTACCATCAGGTAATCCGTCTGCTCGTTTGCCGACTTAAAATGTAGATTGAAAATATAATTAAAGACCCCATTTCCTCTCCCCTCCATCCCCAATCCTCCTACCGTCCATTATCAGTCATCATCCTCACCATCCGTTTCTTCTCTCCAACCCTAATCCGCCTCCTCTCCATCTCCAACCTTCTTCTCCTTCATCCCGTAATGCTGAAGCTCCTTATCTACATTTCTTCTTCAGTGTTTTTTGTATATATTTATTTATTTACATATAGAAATTACCTGAGGCTTTTTTATTTACAATTTTATCAACATGGTAGATATTTATCATTATAATAAATGAATTGAAAAAACAATATTTCTTTTGTTACAGGGACAAGAGAAAAATGTAAAGAATATATAATAGATTATATCATAAATTATACCTAACTAATTATAATTTCTATTATAACGATGTATAGATAAGATATGTTATACGAATAAAATTTATTTGGGGCCAACTGTGTTTTCTTACTTTAGTTTTTGTGCTTTCAATAATCGCTATCTGTTTTTTACACACTATACAGGCGACGCAAAAAACTGATTTTATCAGAAAATAACCGCAGTATTTAAATAATGTAGGTATGTTTTATTGTATATGCATGTAATAATTTTGCATAGTTTTAGAATACTTTAGGACAGATAACATTATTAATAGTCGCAAAATTAAACGTAATAGGTAATCAAATTTGACACATCACGTAATTATTTGAGTCGTAAATACCCGTTGTACTTACACATGACTATTAGGTATAAAATTATATGGAATTTTAAAGAAACTGATTGTATGTTGACACACAGCTGTTTTCGTGGGAATAAATAATAAAACGAAGCTCAATTTTAAACGAAGACAAATTATTTTCCGACCTATGGAACAAATCAATTATCTATACCTACTAATATTATAAAGAGGTAAAATTTGTAAGCTTGTATGTTTGTAAGTTTGTATGTAGGGGGTAATCTTTGGAACCGCTGGTCGGATTTCCAAAATTCTTTCACATATAGATAGCTACAATGTTCCTGAGTACTATAGGCTATAAAACATCACGCTGCGATTAAATGGAGTCGAGCAGCGGGTGAAACCGCGCGAGAATAGCTAGTACCTAATAAAATAAAAAAATCACCCTAACGCTAAAGAGTTACTCTATAAATATTGCATCAATCACAAAACTGTTTTTACAGTATGTGCTTATTGAAATAACGGCACGCCATGCCATGTGGAGTGATACCACGGCTTTCAAGAAAACCGGTATGAAGCAACACTTACCTACGTTGTGTTTCGCCGTGTTAGGTTACCGGAGGCCCAATCCTGCCCCCCCATCCTCAGTCGTCAAATCCCCTATCTTTAAATCCCTAATAACTCACAAGAGGCCGGCAAAGCACTTGTAGTAACTTCTTTGGTATTACGAGACTCCTTAAGCAGCGCTATTTGCCTACCATCTGGTTTTTCGTCTACATCAGAGGTTCCCAAACTTTTTTCTCATAGACCACTTTAAAAATTTTGCTGGATCTGGTGGACCCCCTGCAACTATTACATTTACTAACTTACTTCCAAAACACGAAAAAAGTATATGTCTATGTAAATCTGTGTTGTGACTATTTTTCAATCAACTCTGAGTTTTCGAAAATAAAAGGTGAGAATTATATTGCTTTGATTATGCTGTGAGTTCAAGGTCAGTCTAAAAAGCGTCTTCATCCAACAGATTCTTACTTTACTTTTTTGTATTCTAAGGTTGACTTACAGTACAAGAAACCAATAAGCTCCCACTTCGGAGTGGTAAAAAGTAAAAATAAATATTTTCTTGTTTCGTAACTATTTATTCAAACATAAAAATTACTACACTTTTAATATGTTGTTTTAACAGTCTTAGTAGAATCAAAATTTAACATCAAAAATAATAATCATTGACATATTTTCTTTCTGAATATGGAATATGCAAGTTATTACAAAAACAATTGCTGAGCTTCTTCTAATTTTGTCTTTCTATATTCATAGGAGAAGTCAAGTCGGGTCACCTAATACACATTTATAGACCCCCGTTAACAAGTTGTGGACCCCCATTCTTTTTCCACGCAAGCGTAGACCCCTGTCGGGCTCCCGTGGACCCCTGGGGTCCACCTGGACCACTTTGGGAATCTATGGTCTACATGTTTGTTGATTTTATGACATAAAAATCGTAAATTGAAAAAATAGGTGTCTTAAGAAAACTACCTCAAAAAAGCATGTAAAAAACTATAGACCTTTATTTAAAAAAAAAAACAATAAATATTGTTTAAAAAATAAAATAATATGCTTTTGATTCTACTATTACGTTTCATTTACAATCATCTTTATAGCAATACCAGCATTCCCAGATTTTGTCAACCTAGATTTGTGAAATCGTATACTGTGTGACGTTTTAAAGTTAGGTACTTAGGCACAGTATCTGAAGTTCATTCGTCGATGGGGTAAGTAAAGCTAACAAACTATGTTTCTTCGCCATTATGTTTTCTACCATAATTAATATTTTTCGAACGAAGAACTCAATGGTGTCTACGAGGATGTAACCCAACTAGGGTTCCTAGGACTAAATATCTTCCGGATGCATCTCTTGATGATATCTTTATTTTCTATCAGTTTGAAAAGATTTTAAATTTTGACGCGCACACGTATTCGTATCGGGGAAACGTGTTCAATGTCACTGAACTCGTAAACGGCTGGACTGATTTAGGTGTTATTGTATACGAATTTAAATGAGTTGCGAACTATTTTGTTTACCAAAACAAATTAATCGGTTTTGTTATTAATCGTCTAATTTTTATGGGTACTTACATCTTCAATGGGTAGATACCCTATTACTTACAAGTCTCCGCTATCCGTCCGTCCATAGATAGAATGGGACGGATCTAATTAATAGGTAAGTATTACAATTATTACATTAAACCTATTATGTAACTTTAACCATTAAGTAACCTTAACACACACGACGGAAACTTACAAAAGGGAGTAACTTCTCCCGTTTTCTCAACATTTTCCTTCACTGCTCTGCTCTTTAGCTTGATGAGAAGTATCCTATAACCTGCCCAGTAGTATAAAGAATAATAGTACCAAGTTTTGTTAAAATCCGTCGAGCAGTTTTTGTTTCTATAAGGAACATACAGACAATAATTTTACTGATTGCATTTTTGGCGTCAGTATCGATCACTTATCACCCACTGGAAGTTATTTTGAAAATATATTTAATGTACAGAATTGACCCCTCTACAGATTTATTATAAGTATAGATAATGTTTGTCCATTTAAAAAATAACGTCCCCCTTATTTTTTTCGGTCTCTCAAAAAACACAACCCGAAGTAGGTACTACTGCCAAAGGTTGTGTTTCGCCGTGTGAGTAAGGTTACCGGAGGCCCAATCCTTCCCCTCCCCAATCCCTCCTTAATCCTTAAATCTCCAAATCCCTAATCCCTAAAAGTTCGGCAACGCACTCGTAACTCCTCCGTTGCGGGTGTCTATGCGCTGATTGCTAACCATCAGGTAATCCGTCTGCTCGTTTGCCGACGTTTGTTTTACATAAAAAAGGAGTTTATTAGCTAAGCACCCCAAAATCTGTGTAAAGGTTTGACTGGCCTGACTGGTATTCTAGCCAATCGGGATTCCAAAAATATTCTTTGTTTCGTTTGGTAGATGGGCCTGATCAAAATGTTGTCGCGTTTAGACCTCTAATTGGTTACTACACTACGCTGAACGTAACATAAACGTTTTTTTGTGGGGGGATCATAATTTTTTACGGATTTCTCCCGCTCAGGGTGAGGCGAGAGGGAGTGTCAAACTCTTACTGACTAAAAACTCCCCGTTCCTTCTTCTGCTCCAGGTATAGGCCGTGGTGCCTAATTGCGCTTGCCCGCAACCTCGGTTAACTTCATAAAAGTGCCGATCATCTTAACGTAAAGCAAACTCACGCCGGTATAAGTATCCTTCCGAATGCATTTGTAGCTGCCGCTATAGCAATATGTGTGACTTGGGTACTAAGTACTATTGGCTAACAGTTCTAAATCAGACGTTTTGGAAAACGTTCGAGTAGATCAGAGGGGATTTTTTTATTAATCTATGACAAAAAGCTTCTCTACTACAACAGGCATGCCGTTATGTGTCTATATTATATTTTGCATTGATTAATTGTGTCACTCAACCGTAATAGCAATTATACAAAAAAAGGTGATACGCTACATCCTGCGTCAATGCATCTGGTATGTTTTTTTGATAATTAAAGCAACTTTTGCTAATCGAATTTTAATGAAGACATTTCGGGTTAATACCCTTGCCAAGCTTTAAATATAGATCGGTTATGATACCTATACCTATAAGCAAAACAAAAAAGGAGGTTAGGAGGCAGAGATACCAACCATTATTTTTAATTCGGCTTCGCGATTGTGCCGCTACAAGCACGCCTGTTTTGAATAAGAGTCACGTTGCGATTTGAAACTAGTTGAGCTGTCCTCAGTTCATTCACGCGGGTGAGTATTTTTGTTCGATAAGTTTTGTATGAAGAACCATAGGTACTATAATGTATAATTTACCACCCACTTCTAAACAGTATAATATCTTTAGTCAAGAGCCGTAGTTTTCCTGTGGCAAATTAGGCACGAGCCTGGGACACCAGGTAGCGGAGAGGCGTCAATAAGGTGCTTGCCTGGGGTATTCGACCATCATAATTTCTTACTCATACCAATTTGGTGGTCCTAACCAAATAAGCCAAATACATACATTGATTGTCTATGAAAATAGATATGTCTATTTTCGACCACCGTAAGCACAGGTATGCAGATGGCGAGGAAGGGTAGTTCGCCGTTCGATTAGAACCAGACCCAAGCGTACGATGGGTAGCGTTCCAAGAACTCCGTATAAAGAGCCAACAGACCACCACAGAAGGGGCAAAACACCATGTTCAGGGGTTGCGGGTATACGCAATAAGATAACGCAGCCTGCTAAGGACGCACGCTGTTATAGAAACGGTAAGACCCCTCAGGTAAGATAAAGGCAGAAAGATGATGATGATTTCTTTTATTCATTTAAGTCAGCACGCAGTGCTCAATCACTTTTCGACACATCGCGCCGCGCGCGTTGGAAGCTCGGGCGGAAAACTTGTAAAAATTTATTGTTTTTGATATATTTTGAATGTGATAAGTTTTTCTTCAACCAAGTAAGTGCAGACAAGGCCTTTCAACGTCAGAACAAACATGAAACTTCAACACGTTTCCTTTGCACATTTTTTTCTAAATTTCGCTTATAAAGTGACGATATTATACCTACCTACCTACTTACTTGCTATTATTTATAAGTAATAGGTATATTATAATTTACTTTTACTTATAAAATATTAGCATTGAATTTACATTATAATATAACACTCGTACTTACAATATTGTGTTGCAATTTTTATATTTTGAATAAACCCAAAGATTACCCCCTACATACAAACTAACATTTGTAGGTTAGTTTCGCGGGTATGAGTTTTGACATTTTGCTGACATCTGACACTAGCGCCTCTAGCGGTGAATTTATTCACTTTGCTAGTACCTATTAGCTTGATTGTGGAGTTTCAAATGAGCTCGTAGGGGATGGGATTAAGTATTCGAAACAGTGTATGTCAATTAAGTACTTATACGCCTGAACGAATGGCTGAGTTCTGTTTGCTATACAATAATATTATTATGCTAAGTGTAGGGTGAGCCATGCTTTAGTACGAGGCCCGGCTCGACCGATGTGATATGGCCGTCGCGATATCGGGGGTACCCATAAGTTTTTTTTTGGTCAGGGGAAAATTATCAAATGACTTCTCCCACCCAGGGTAAGGCGAGAGAGAGTGTCAGACTCTTAGTGACTAAAAACCACCCTGTTCCTTCTCCTGCTCTGGGCCGAGGCCGCGGTGCCTCATTGCGCTTAACCCGCAACCCCGGCTGAACATCAGCTCTATAGGGCCCCGTCTGTGGTGGTCTATTGGTTCTTTGAGGCGCGCGCGGAATGCTACGCGCCGTACGCTTGGGTCTGGTTCTGGTCGGGAAGCCTAATCTGAAGATTCATCGTACATCTTTCTCGATTTCTCGCCTTCGTCGCCTATCCCGAAATGCTAAATTCCCAGTTCCAAGGATAGTAGGTAAAAAAAAGATAGTAGGCTACGCACTTGTGGCTTCAGTGTGTGTGTGAATGGGCTACGTCGTTTGCTTACCATCAGTGACCTGTCTTAACGATTGTACCAATTTATAATATTTTTTTGACTTAATTGGTTTTTTTAAATTCTGTCCCACGCATTAGGATTTCTCCTGTGTCCTCGGTGAGTTTAAAAACATGCAAATCACACCCAGAAACAACAATTTGCGGATTACACAATGAGTTGTTCAGTGCGGGAATCGAACCCGCGACTCGTTGCTCGGCAGCCAGTTGTCCAGTCAACGCGCTAACAGTGCATTAAAAAAACATTTGAAATGTGCACCTTTGCTTACTTACTTGATTACCTTAGGACAAGATTAAAAATGTACCTATTTTTTTTTCAATGAATATATTTGTATCAAGTATTTAAATATGTATAATAGTATCGTAGCTATTACAGCATTTTGTTATTTTTATAATAATTATATTTATTTCATTGTGTTACCTATTTACGATGTTACATTGGAATTTTTATTGTAGTATTGTCATTTTTATATAAAAATAAACAAGTATGCAGCAGGTAGGCCTCTTCACACTTCTAAGTTTCCTCAATAGGACATATACCCCAGCTCAGGTACGGTTAACTAAACGTTTATTGAACTCTGTACTCTGATAGAAACAGGTTTGGGTTTATTTTTGTTCGACCACACCTATGTATATGTTATATGGGAAATTCATGTAGATTCCTCGTTCATATTTTAGTCTCGCACTGTTTGTGTCCGTTGCAACAAGTTTCTCGACGTTGACAGAATTAAATTCTTTATTTGAATTTGAAATAATAAATTTCGCCCTGAAGGTGAGTTATTAGTTATAAGTATTTTGAATATTTTTTTTTCTTTAATAACTTTTTGTATCCGATATTTTTGAGTGATCGTTTTAATTAATTATATTTCTATTTATCATGTTATTATCTTTTTATTTTATTTATTAATGTACTTGTACCTACTTCCCTATCACTCTCTATCTATTTTACAAAAAAAGTTTTTGCACCTACCTACATTCTATAGCTACAGAATGAACGTAGTTATCCTCTTCCTTAGATTGTTTGTAGTTCAATAATTTCACGTTTATATGTATAATATTTTACATGGTAAGTAACTGATGGTAAAAGACAAATAAACAAATCTTTATTGAACTAATTGTGATTGCATTTTATGGTCTTAATGTAAGTTTGCCGCTTTGTACAATGTTTACCTACATAGGCATGCACTACGAGTCACTTAGTGTATAACATAAAATGTTAGCTTCTTTAAACTGTTATATATGTCAATAATAAGCAGTAAAAAATACATTGATTCCTTACATATATCCTTTAGCATCACAATTATCATAATTTTGCTTCAAAGTAATACTTTTGAATCAAAGAAACAATGTTCAATTAGAAATATTTTATTACATATTTAAAGCTCTTTAGCTTAAGTGATTTTATTTTAGCTTGTTGCTTAGGATATACAACGGGCACTCATTAGGCGTTTTAAGTGCTAATCCTCAAGTTGATACCGGACTCCTATATGACGTCATAGCCTCGTCGCGTTTTCGTGCGGGCTTCACTATTGCGCGTTTCTTCCCCCTTTTTCAACTTACATCTTTGTTCTTAACATCCGCCAGAAAATCGCGTGTGTCAAAACGCCTTGTGTACCTGATTTTCGGAGGCTGGAGTGCCGCGTATAAAGCCGCGTAATAAGCCGCGGGCAACATTTATAACCATAACCATCTACCCGTTTAACAGGTACCTACCTACCTACCTGTGTAGACTACAGGTATTTGGAATCTGGACAGGAACGAAAACAAAGGTTGATTCAGTATAGAGACTTTCCGACCTCTTTGAGAGAGAGAAAAAAGAAGAGAGGCTAAGAGAGTCCTCAACTTCCGCTCGATATGGAGTGGAAGCAACGTCGTCGCCACCGGGCACTCTGTTGTAGCAGCGGTAAGACCCCTCTTTGAGGAGTGGCTTGAGAGACGCCATGGCGTCCTCACCTTCTGCCTGATGCAGATGCTTCCAGGCACGGAAGTTTCAGTGGGTGCCTGTTATGGATCCAATGCGAGTCCACGCTCGGGTGTCGTCATTGTGAGGACCACCCGGAGGACGTGACGAGCCCTGCCTAACCTAAGCACTGCCTGTGTCCTCAGAGAAGTAAAGGGTGGCGGTGACCTCTCGCGTTCGATCTTAGTCGAGGCCATGGTGGGAAGCGAGAGGACATGGGAAGCCGTCTCCCTTTACTGCAAAGCAAATTGCGTACAAAGGAGGAAACGGACGTGAGGGAACTGACCTCCTCACGCCCCAGCCGTCGCAGTACACACACAGTACACTCCGAGCGGCGGGGATCGAGAAATGATCTCCGGCGACCGGAAGTTAGGGGCTGCAGACGGCGAGTAAAGGTAGCTAGAACCCCGCCTAATACCAGACCCGAGGGTACGGCGATTTCCGCGCGCGGAACGCAAAGCGCCAATAGACCACCATAAACGGGGCCCTCTATGGGCTGATGTTCAGCCGGGGTTGCGGGGCATGCGCAATTAGGCTTGACCTTAAGTAGGAGAAAGTAGTAAAAAAATAAGCGTTGTTTGTCGTTGACATCGGTTTTCCGAAGACCATAATATCACAAACAACTCGTTTGTGGCACGTTACCTACTTACCTACTTCCATTACCCTACTCCATAAAATCTATACGCAGATCATTACTTAATTTAGAAGATGAGTACAACCTTAATCACGAGACCCTTACCTTAATGATTATTTATTTTTAATGGTTTACTAGCGTAACTGATTGACAAAGAACTCGACTAGCCCATCACCACTGTTCGTTTCTATTTCTTATATATATTCTATTCTAACATTTACAATAAAGCTTTCTGCGTATTTAAGGGGGTACCTATATGTATATAGAAATAGATCAAAAATAAGAACTGTTTCAGTATAGAGAATTAAGTTAACATAATTAAATGTTAGGAAAAATATTTAGTTTTAATTCCGCGACAAAAATCCAGGCTTGTTGCAGGATGCAATCCCACTCCTATACAATCATGCATATGCACATGCAGCAAGGGTAACATGCATGTGCACACATACACAAAACGGAAAAACATACCATGTAACCAAACCTATACTCGACACGTGTTTCGCCCCTCCACAGGGCATCCTCAGGAGATGTTGACTCGACGAGCGCTCGGCTGCAAAATAGTAATATTTAAAGTCATGGATTTCCGCAAAGTAACGACTGATTCTATAAATTAGCATAGTTATAAAATATAGCTTCATTAAAAATATTGTAATTTAATGTAACAAATATCTGTGCAGTGATAAAATTAGGAAAAGTCTCGAGAAGAAAGAGTATTGCTCCTTTGCATTTCTGGACATACAGCAAGCGTTTGATCGTGTGTGGCATAAAGGCCTAACATAAAAAATTAAAAAGAAACATTCCACACAGCTATTTAGAACTATTAAAGTCATACCTCTCAGACTGACTATTTCAGGTCAAAATTTATGAAACCACATCAAAGTTATATGAAATCACTGCAGGTGTGCCACAAGGGTCAATACTAGGTCCAGTACTATACACTTTATACACCGCTGACCTATTAAACGTGGTCTACTTATTTTCTTACCAATCTGGAAGCTCCGGAGACCAAATCGTGATCGATGTATTTCCCACTTTAGATTTCGGCTAGATAGTAGGGGTTTTCTCCAGTATGACAACACTGACACTTTATAGCGATAATTTAGGTTTATTTGGTTACAAAATATTTAGATTATTTGTTTATTTATTTAGTTTTATATATTGCACACATTCGACATGATCTTCTTTTTATTCACGAGTGACATTAAATTTTTCTAACAGTTAGTTGCCTAGCAATGTACCAAAGAGCTTTTTACTAGTGCTATGCAACCTCAACACTTTCCCTCACTAGTTGGAAAGATCTTGCAGACCCAAATCCTCTCTCAGTTTAACGAGTCTGGGTCTTGGTACTGCCTTCGTCAAAAGGTCAGCCAATTGCTCTGTGGAGCTAGTTTTCTGCACATTCAATAGACCTTCTTGCACAATTTCACGTACAAAGAAGTGACGTATTCGGATGTGTTTCGTCCGTTTATGAAATTCGGGATTGTGGGCAAGGCGAATGGCTGCTTCATTATCCACGCTTAAAGTTGATATGTCCGCCAAACTTGTAAGTTGAGCATAGATCCTCTGAAGCCACACAAGTTCTCGTGCACCTTCGCTCGCTGCCACAATTTCCGCTTCGGTTGTTGAAGTCGCGACCGATGCTTGACGTTGGCTTAGCCACGAAACAACTCCATCAGCATACATACAAATAACGCCTGTGGTTGAGCGTCCACTAAGCTCATCACCACCGTGATCTGCATCACTATATCCTCGAATTACAGCTTTGCAAGGACCCGAACTGTATTTGATGCCATGGGACATTGTTCCTTTAAGGTATCTGAAGATCCTCTTGACTCTCAGCCAATCAGCTTCTGTCGGATTCTCCAACTTCCGTGATACTACCCCAACAGCATACGCGATATCGGGGCGCGTCCCTGTCATCAGGTATGCTAAGGCTCCTACTGCCTCTCGATAAGGAAACTTTTTCTCAGGTGCTTTCCCTGTTTCTGAAGTCACTGTTTCGATTGGTGTAGAGACGGGATTGCAGTCAATCATATTGAAGCGTTCGAGGATCTTCCGCGTATAAGCTTGTTGGCTTATAAATATAGATCCATCCTTGGAACGTTCTATTTCAAGGCCAAGGTAATACGAAGCCGGCTTGCTTGTGATTTTGACAGCTTGTCCCAGCTCCTTCAAAAATTTAGTTGCCAAAGCCTCGCTTGTAGTGGCCATGAGTCCGTCATCCACGTACAACGCCAACAAAATCTTATTGCCCCCTTCTGTCTTTGTAAAGAGACAACAATCAGCTTCATTCTGTGTGAATCCTTTTTGCAACAGAATGTCTTCAATGCACATGTTCCAGCAACGAGGAGCTTGCTTTAGGCCATATAGACTCCTCTGTAGCCTGCATACTTTCGAAGAGCCATCAGAAAAGAAAGGAGGTTGTGACATGTATATTTCCTGCTCTAATTTCCCATTTAAAAAGGCTGTCGCGACGTCAAATTGTGTTAAATGAAGTTTCTCTTGTGCAGCAACGCTTAAAAGAGCTCTAATGGTAGACATCCTGGCTACCGGACTATATGTCTCCTCATAATCTAGCCCTTTCCGTTGTCTGAACCCTTTAACGACCAATCGCGCCTTATATTTGTCTATGCTTCCATCTGGGTGTCGTTTAATCCGAAAAACCCATTTACATGGTAGCGCCTTTCTATTAGACGGGAGCTCGCACAGTGTCCATACATTATTCTCCTTGAGTGACTGAAGCTCGCTGGCCATGGCTTTCCGCCATTCCGCACCGTCAGTTCTACTTATTGCTTCATGGTAGCTCTCTGGAAAGTTTTCTGTGCCTACAAAGCAGACGTAGTCATCGAACTTCTTAGGGGGAGCAAGAGTTGACCTGTCTCTAAGGTTATATCTAGGTTCCTCTTCTCTCTGGGGCTCATCTCTCAGGGGCTCGACTACAATTTCCTCTTCTTCCCCTTCTAGTCGAGGCACCTCTACTCTCAGAGGCTCAACTATGTCAAGAGGTTGCTGTTCCCCTTCAGCCGGAAAATTCTCTTCCCCTTCAGCATCGACAAACTCTCCATCATCATCTTGCTCAGTAGTATCAGTAGCATCCTCAGACCCTAACCGTAATGTGAATTCAACATTACTTTGAAAAGTTATGTCTCTGGATTTGAATGTTTGATGTCCGTCCCACACACGATATCCATCGTCGTTTTCATAGCCAATAAGAATGCCTTTCATGGCTTTCCTAGACATTTTGTTACGCTTCTGCTTTGGGATATGTGCATAACATTCACTACCAATAACCTTGAGGTGTGATATTCGAGGTTTTTTTGCCGTGCCATAGTTCGTATGGAACTTTGTCTGTCACTCGACTTGGGCCTGTTCTATTCAGAACATACGCTGCGGTATTAATCAATTCCGCCCACAAAATTTGCGGTAACTCATTCCTTGCATGCATCATACTTCTCGCGGCCTCTACCAGGGTTCGGTTCTCACGCTCACTACACCCGTTCTGTTCCGGTGTGTAAGGCATTGTCAGTCTGTGCTGTATACCAAAATCCTGTAGTATTTTCTTGACGTCCTTATTATCAAACTCGCCACCGTTGTCACTAAGCAAGGTTTTCACATTATGCCCAGCATTCTTTGCCTCTTTCAGCATCTGCAGCAACTTGTCCTTGACTTCTGACTTCTGACGTATGAAGTAAACCATACGGTAGCCTGAGTAGTCGTCCTTGAACAATACGTAGTACCGGAGTTTAGTTATGCTTGGTGCAAAAGGACCGCATACATCTGTATGGATTAGCTCTCCACATACAGTAGCTCTTTCCCTGGTTCCAAAGGTCTGTCTTTGGGACTTCCCATATATGCAGCCTTCGCATTTAATATTATCAGGCTTGAGGTTCACGCCTAATTCACGTTTTACGACGCGTATTACATGCCGCTTGTCCTGATGTGCAAAACGCTCATGATAGAGCTGCAGCATATTGGAACCGGTGACAGCATTTACCTGTATAGCTCTCGGTGTTGTTGGAATTACCGTTTTAAAGTCCAACTTGTAAAGGCCTCCCTTTGGGATCCTCCTGCCAACGACTTTAGTCATGCCTTCAATTTCCAACTTGCATTTTTTTGTCGTTGATGTAAAAATACTGTTCTGCGCTCTGTCTTGTGCCGCCAACGGTGAAAAGAGATTTTTTGTGAGTGATGGTACTAGCCAGACTTCTTCAAGAGTAAAAAGTCAAAAAAGTCAAAATTATTTATTTCAATTAGACCCATACAGGCACTTTTGAACGTCAACACAACTTTAAAGATACAAAGTGTCAGTCTGTCGGTCAGTCCTCTTAGTGAAGCTATTCGCTCGTTCCAAAGTGTAGATTCCGATGGAGAAGAACGAGCAAGAAACTCCATGGTTACTCTTTTAAAATCAGTGTCACATAAACATTCTTTGATACATTATTTAGTTAGTTTGAATATGTGAGAACAGTGTAACGCGTGTATACAGAGAAACATAAAAAGAAAATAACCTTAAGGACAATAGACAGTCCGGAGCTGACCAGTCCCAATTGACGGCGCCCGTTCACGAGCATGACACGTACACCAGCATCGCCCAACTCAACCATAATATAGGGAATCGAGCGATCCAGTGACCGTGCCACCGCCAATGTGACCTTTGAGTGAGCATGACAACTCCAAGCTGACATATGGACCGACATTCTGCTAGTCTAACTAATTTTAATAGGTTACAGGGCACTCACATTTACAAATTTATCAAGTTTAACAATAAAAATAGCATGGTTACAAAATTACAAAATCTAAGAACTTCCGTTCAAGCAAAGATCCACTGGAACATTATTTATATTCGTGTAGGTATATTATCCTGTGGAGCAGGACCAGCCCGTCTCCAAGCATCCTTATCCTCAATATAATCACTCAGTTTGTAATATGCTTTTTTACACAAAGTTTTCTTTACACATAATTTAAAATTTCTTTCATTTAATTGTTGTATTTCGCCTGGGATTTTGTTATAACACTTAACGCTGAATCCCATGAACGACTTGTGTACCTTTGCCAATCTAAATAATGGCTGACACAATCTATCTCTATGTCTAGTTTGGTAATTATGTCTGTCTGATACCTTATCAAATAATATTAAGTGTTTCCTAACATACATTATATTTTCATAAATAAACTGACCGGGCACAGTCATAATATTGATCTCTTTAAATTTATCTCTAAGAGATTCGCGAAGCCTTAGGTTGTAAATTGCTCTGATTGCACGCTTTTGCAAGACAAATATAGACTCAATGTCAGCAGCCTGTCCCCACAACAAGATGCCATACGACATAATGCTATGAAAGTAGCTGAAGTACACCAGTCTTGCAGTGTCCACATCTGTTAGCTGTCGGATCTTCCAGACAGCAAATGCTGCAGAACTCAACCGTCCTGCCAGAGATGTGATATGGGGCCCCCATTGTAGTTTTTCATCTATGGTTATACCCAGAAAAGTAGTCTGTTTTACAAATTCCAATTTCTTGCCGTTTAATAATATGTCACATTCGTTACTTTTTACATTTGGTAAACTGAATCGTATACACTTTGTCTTTTTGTCGTTTAGAACTAAATTATTAACTGTAAACCAGTTATGAACCTTCGAAATAGCATTATTTACTTCGTCATAATTATTTGTCCGTCTATTTATTTTAAGTAATATGGACTTTAGTTTCGTTGACCTTGGATTCAACTTTAATAGAACCTATTCCAACTGCAGGAATCACAGTCCCATCCGCTGTAGTTACTGTGTGATTTGAATCGAATTCACGAAAATCCGTAAACATCTTTCTTGAAACGGCTATGTGCGTGGTTGCTCCGTTATCAACATACCAAGATTCTTTATCTTGTATTTGATTAACTGTGCACGCGTTCACCATCAGCGATAAGTTCTGCACTTGGTTAGATTTAATGTCTGAATGTGACGTGCTTGGCTTTGGTGGTCTTCCATCCTTTATCCATTTCTTGCACTGTCTAACTCTATGTCCTTTACCGGAACAGTAGTTACATTTCAGATCATTTCTCTCCTTCTTGTGCTTACTCTTTTGCTCTGCAGGTGTAGTCACCAGTGCTTCCTTTTGGATGGTGCTCTCTGGACCACCTAAATCTCTTTCAAATGCGCAGAGATGACTCGTAAGACTGTCGATCGTTTTCTCAGACTGCTTCAGCATTAACCAGCTCGACTTAAAATTAAAATACCTGTCATCCAGAGTATGTAAAACCTTGCAGATAAGGAATAGATCAGGCAGCTTAGCTGTTGCGTCTACTTTTTGGATCTCCACTACTAGGTCGTTCCATAAATTCTTTAGCTTTGACAGAAGTGTAGGAATATCATCCTCTTGATCCCGTTTTAGCCCAAAGAATTCAAGACACAAGTTGTAAGCCCTGTCCTCTGTCTGCCTATCAAAAAGTCGATGCAGTTCTGCCCAAACTTCGTGTGCCGTTTTGTAACGCATAACCTTCTTTAACGTTTCTTCAGTCATATTGGTTGTCAGCATCAGGAGTGCACCGCTTTGAGTCCTCTTATATTTAGCCATTGCAGCATTATAAGTGCTTTGAGCAGCATCTCCTGCACCAGGTGGTAAAACTGGCATTGGAAGTCTATTTTCTACTGCTTCTAAAGCACCTTCCGTACCCTCAAGCATGACTGAAATTTTGTACTTCCATGTTTGCCAATTGTTTTTGCCCTCTAGTTTTCCGATCTCTAATTTCGTTGAGAGATCCATGGCACTTTTCAGTCGTCCAGTGGTGGTGGGTCCCAATACCTATTAAACGTGGTCTACTTATTTTCTTACCAATCTGGAAGCTCCGGAGACCAAATCGTGATCGATGTATTTCCCACTTTAGATTTCGGCTAGATAGTAGGGGTTTTCTCCAGTATGACAACACTGACACTTTATAGCGATAATTTAGGTTTATTTGGTTACAAAATATTTAGATTATTTGTTTATTTATTTAGTTTTATATATTGCACACATTCGACATGATCTTCTTTTTATTCACGAGTGACATTAAATTTTTCTAACAGTTAGTTGCCTAGCAATGTACCAAAGAGCTTTTTACTAGTGCTATGCAACCTCAACATGACCTACTTATGCAGAATGGTGTTCGCGCACATATAGTTCTTCTATTGAGTCTTAAATTAACACGATTGAGAGGTTAAATGGTGTTTAATTTTCTTCACAGTAACAATGAAGGTGTTACTACTACTCTCCCTCCTGGCTGTGGCCTCCAGCTACCCTATCGTGAAGACTTGGACCCTCTCCGAGTTGTCTGCGGCCATTGAGAACAAGAAAGGGGGACGTGATATTATGCCTTATCTGGAGACAGCTCTTAATGAGATCATGTATGGACTCTTCACTGGAAACACTGATGTAAGTTTTTTTTTTTTTATTAATGGGTGACAGTACGCAGTTCTTGTTGCAGTGGCCCGGAGGTTAGGGTGTAATTTCTAAGACTATTTTGATAACACTAGTATTATTCTTAGTTCTCAGGCAACTTCAACTTTTAATGTTTTTTCCTTTTCCGTGTGAGGCCTTTTTTTGTCAGGGGAAAATCATCCAACTACTTTTCCCGCCCAGGGTAAGGCGAGAGAGAGTGTTCGACTCTTACTGGCTAAAAACCTCCCCGTTCCTTCTCCTTCTCTGGGCCGAGGTCGCGGTGCCTCATTGCGCTTACCCCGCAAGCCCGGCTGTCCGTGTGAGGCCTGCACGTCGATTCTATAAAATTTGTTTGATTTTGAATCTTGTTCGAGTGCGAAGTGAGCGTCGAAGTGACGGGGAAATAAAATTTTAGAATGCCACTTTTAACGTCATCTCATACTTTATCTATCAAAATGTTGCGGTCAATTTAGTTCAACTCGCAAGTGTGTAAAGTGTGTACTACTACTCACGGCGGATTAAGATTCGAAGTTTAGAATGAAGTCTTACAGAATTACACTACTGAAACTGAGAAGAGGCCTTTTGCTCAGCAGTCGGCAAAACCGATCGCCAACTTCTCTTGACTCCGGGTTTTTATTTTGTTTCTGACTCCTTCTGCTAAAATAAGATGCAATATGAGTAGCAACATTACAATTCATTTTTTACGGGCAATTTGAGAGTTAAGCTGGCATGTATATTATTTATTTTTGTCTTGCGTGTTTAAGCAACAGCGTTATTGCCGAATTTTTGCTTTCAGCAGCTTTGAACTAATCAGCAACAAAATTTTTTTTTTTGATTTATCTAATTTTACATATCACCTTTTTTAAACCTCGCTTATAGGCTGACGAAATATTAACAAAATAAAAAGTTTTAATAATAAATAATTAAATAGTTATTTTATAAATTTTATAAATGTAGTCAACAGGTAAACTAAATTAATGTAAAAATATTTAAATATTTATTTTTATGGTATTATTTGGCATTTTGTTTAGTAAGACAGGTTTATATGAAACTAGCCGCTCATGCACGGTTTCACCCGCTGCTCGGTGTCTATAGGTAAGCTGTAGCATGATATTGTATATTAGATAGCCTTCCTCGAAATAATGGTTTAATTCAATTCGAACCAGCATTTACGGAGTTTAGCGCGTTCAAACCAACAAATAAATAAAAAATGTTATCAGGTTTAGAATATTCGTATATAAGACATTTTTATAAATAATATATAAAAAAAACGCACATTTATTAGTTATATCTATTTTTAAACATTTGTTTTTTTAACTATAGCTAATAATATGTACATGTATTGCTTAAAATATTCAAGAAATGAATATGATAATTGACGCAAAAAATAACAAAACTACTGACTATATACACATTTACATAGCAAGTTTATATGGTTTATATTTGTACCGTGGTTACAATAAACAAAAAATATCGTAAAAATTTAAGAAACTCACAATTTTGACGACTCCAAAAAAAAACAGTTTATATAGATAAACTAATTCCCTTAATAATAATTTATGAGAGACCCAAGCTTCGGCACGAATGAGTCGGCACGACGTGACGGCCTCACAGAAAACCGACGTGAAACAACCACAGTGTTGTGTTTAACCGTGCGAGTGACTATCGTTTAGTTATACTATACTGGATAACCAAATCCGTCCTCAGCCCCCCATCCTTAATCCACAGATTTCCCCTATGTTAGACCCCTATCCTAGATTAGACCTCTATCTGTAAAGCTTCAGAGGCCGGCACCGCACTTGTCTCTGTTCCTATTAATTGTAACGTGATGAAGGGGATACCTTAAGAATATAACCTGCTCAGGAATATAAAGAATTATTGTACCAAGTTTCGTTAAAATCTGTCGAGAAGTTTTTGTTTCTATAAGGAATATACAGATAGACAAACAGACAAGTGTGGGAGAGCCAAGCTTCGGCACCGGACCGGGGTGATACCACGGCCTCACAGAAAACCGGCGTGAAACAACCACAGCGTTGTGTTTCGCCGTGTGAGTGAGGTTACCGGAGGTCCAATCCCACCCCTTCCCCTATCCGTTCTCGAACCTTATATCCGCAACCCCTACTCCCAAAAGGCCGGGAACGCACTCGTAGCTCCTTTGTTGCGGGTGTCCATGTCACTAATCACCCCCTGATAGTTTCTTTGTAAATATATTTCATGTACAGAATTGATCTCTCTACAGATTTATTATACATATATATAAACAATCCAAAGATTGTTTTTAACATTAAATTTATATCGTAAATTCTTTAACGGACTTTAACGTAATAAGATGTTACGTAACGTGTAGGTAATTTTAGTGTGTTCTCTAAAAAACGTGTGATTAATGTTTATGTTTACGCAGACGTGACAAAAATTATAATAAAAAGCCAGAAGTTAGATATGTCATACATCAATTATCACCGTTTGAAGGTGACTTTTGTGTAAAACCAACAGACAACTAAACGTATACTTAATAGAGAAAAAAGGTCTCAAAAAGAAGGTTTATACCTTTTGAATCATTCTATCTGTTAAGAAAACCGTTTCAAAAATTGTTACATGGTTTTAAAGATTTAAGCATACATAGAGATAGACAGCGTTAAGCTACTTTGTTTTATACTATATTGTGACTACTACCTACATAAAAAGAGGAAACAATATACGTATTATGCATCACGTTAAGTACATATTTGAAGATCAAAATGAGGTCGCAAATGCAACACATTACGTGTCTGCATAACGGCTATGCAACAGCCAGTATGGTAACTCCAAAAAAAAAAAAAACAAATTCCATGTTTAAATTTACATATTTGTTCAGTTGGTTTTAACATAAATTATGTATCTATCTACACATGAGTGGAAAGTGGGTACCCGTGTAATTGTTATATGCATCTGATAAATAATAATCGCATTAATCATTCAATTTTTAAAATTAAACAAACGAACAGTTGTTTCAACAGGACAAAGCTAAAGTCAAAATACATAGTTATAATTTACTTAGTTTATTGCCAATCATTGTTTGCTTTTAGAAAAGGAAATACGATTTGACTCTTTTTGAGTTAAATAATGAAGCTTTAAGGTCTGGTACATGATGCTGATAATTCTTATGATATACATACGTAAACGTATAACGTATGTGGTATGAACTTTATGCTATATACGTTAATCGGTAAGTATACGAAGATGCTAGAATACAGCGAGCAAGGTTAGCTCGCCGCCCGACCAGAACTAGACCCAAGGTCGTGTGCGGTTCCGCAACTCGAAAGATACAATTGACCACCTCAGATGGAGTCCAACATGGCCAATGCTTAGCCAGTGTCACTGGTCAAGCACAATAAGGTACCTTGGCTTGAGGAAACGGGGGCTTTTTTAGTCAGTAAGAGTCTGATAGTCCCTCTCACCATACCACGGGGTTTAAATTATTACTTACCTTTTAGAGACTGCATCAATTAAATTTAAGCTTTCTGTAACCTAAAATAAGATCCTCGATCATCGCAAGAGAACCTAAATTTTATTTAAATCTCATTGAATCTAAACTCTCCTAAATCATTCTATTTTGAAAATAAATATTTCTTTTTGACAGAGTATCCACGCAGCGATCCCATCTCCATCCGGAGGAGACACGTGGACAGTGGAGGAGGTGAAGCAAGCTCTTAAAGATCCTATCATCAAGCCCGAGTTTTTACCAGCTCTGTTGGAAGCACAGGGCTTTGTGGAGCGCAAGAATGAAACTGGAGAATTGGAGGTAAAATAAACATTAAGGCAAAGATTAGACACATATTTTAGAACAACAAAATGGAAAAAGAGTCTTTCGGCAATTTAGAATGAAGAAGAAATAATACTTGTCTATTATAACACGGGATTACTGGAATATATCATACTAAGAATATTTTTATGCCTTGTTTTTGAGGGGCCAAAATGATCACTTCATTTATCAAAATTTTTGGCCTAAAGCCTTAGAGTTAAGGTCGACACCTTACAATTGAACAAAATGAAACAGTTCCCATATGTTTTTTATAGGAACCTGTGGAAGTATTGATACCAGCTTTGGACATTTCCACGTGGACTGAATCTGACCTGACGCAAGCTCTGAACAGTCCCAGCACGAAAAAAGATCTCCTGCCTTTCGTGGAGAAGGCATTCAACGATCTGAAAGAGGCTCAAGAAAATGGTGAAACACGGGTAAGGAATTCTGAAGATTGTTTTTCAGTAGGTTTCCATCCTGTTAGAAGGTCGAAACAAAAAGTATTCTACGTTACCCTATTCTTTGAAGAAGTAAACCATCAATGGCTTCTCTTGCCTGGTGTATAGCCATGGGGAGTGTCAGATTCTTACTGACTAAAACCCCCCTGTTCCATCTCCTGCTATAGGCCGAGGCTGCAGTACCTTATTGGATTTGCCTTGTAACCCCGGCTGAACATCGGTCCTGTTGGCTCCATTTCATTCACGTTTAAAGGTGGATCTTGTACTCTATGCTTTTAAGCATAATTAATGCAAACAAACAAACTAATATATCCTTTTTTTAACAAAAGTAAATGTTTTTTTTTGCAGAATATCATCTACATGGTGACTCCCGTTGGTCTGATACCTCCTAAGGCCGACTACGAATACGTATTAAAACCATCGAAACGTCGCGTCAAGAAGACTAAGAAAGGACTTTAATTAGGTAAGTAACCAATGAGACGATGGATGCCTGGCAGCGTGTTGGTTCGGCTCCATTGGACAAAACTCAAATATAGTCAGTAGTTACTAAAATTCTCAAAATAAATTGAAATAAATGATTGTCCAGAGTCTTCATTGTCATCCGTCATACTTACAATCACCATCAGTCGCATTATATGGATAAAAAATTGAGAGCATCTGATATGAACTTTATTTTATGAATTTGCCCAATCCAAGCCTCCACCCCCTCGGCAAAACGCCTCCTACCGGAGGTCGTATATGGGGATCGTGCGATCCATGGCTCTCTACGGGGCCCCTGTGTGGTCGCCGGACTTGAGGCGGCGGCGGCCAGATCTTACGCTGGTTGCGTCCCAGAGGGTCATGGCTATCCGGATAATCCGCGGATATCACACGATCTCACGAGGCGGCGTCGCGTGCGTCTACAGTTTGCGCACAGACGCGAGGAACCTCTGCCGCGCCAAATTAGTGCGTGGCGGAATTAGCTCCGGCGAGATCTCATGGCTGATTGGAAGCAGCGACTGTCGCAACCGAGGACCGGGCACGCTGTTATAGCAGCAGTTAGACCCTTCTTTGAGGGGTGGCTTGAGAGACGCCACGTCGTTCTCACCTTCAGACGCAGGTGCTTACCGGGCACGGCAGTTTCGGTAGGTTCCTGTTTCGGATCCAGCGGGAGGAAACGCCCGAGTGTCGTTATGGTGAGGACCACCTAGAGGACACGGTGGAGCATGCGGTGGCGGTGTGCATAGGTCTGATGTTCAGCCGGGGTTGCGGGGTAAGCGCAATGAGGCACCGCGACCTCGGCCCAGAGCAGGAGAAAGAACGGGGGTTTTTTAGTAGGAGCCTGACACTCCCTCCTGCCCGACCCTGGGCGGCAGGAATCATTTGATGATTTTGCCCTCACAAAAAAGCCTCCACCCCGTTGTCCCCATAACTCCTCTAGTATTAGAGATCGCCGATTGCTTTCCATCAGGTGATCCGGCAACTTATTTGATGCTCTATAGCATAAAAAAAGAATAAGGATTCATTGTCATAGAGTGCACGAATTGTTTCAAGCTTCTTAAGCTCAATCGTTTTTTTTCGAGACAGGACGGCAAATGGTCTTACGAATAACCTGATGATAAGCAATCAGCGCTGCCCATAGTTATCCGCAACATCAAAGTTACGAGTGCGTTGACGACCTTTTGAGGATTAAGGATTAGGGTAGGGGAAAGATTGGGCCTCCGGTAACCTCACTCACACGGCAAAACACAACGCTGGGGTTATTTGCCGCCAGTTTCCTCTGAGGTCTTGGTATCACTGCGGTAGAGCCGATCCATTCGTGCCGAAGCTTGACTCTGCCACACTCAGTTGTATGATTCCTAAGTACTCCCATTTTTTTCTTCTTTCAGAATATAAGCTGTCAATGTACGAGATTAACGAGTTTCAACAATCAAGACTTGAGGTTTAATTTTCGATTTTAAATAAATAATAGCAATATATTAACAAGTTTTATTTAATTCTTAGCGGTATTTTCAATATACAAAAAAAAATACGATATCACGTTTAGGACCTGGACAGAAGAACGCACAATTATGTACTTACGTACAAAATTAAGTCTGTTTGCTGCTTTGCACCAACCATTGGCTCATCTCTGCATTACCCAAGGCTGGACTGTTAGAACCTGAAGCCTCTGTGCACGAAGTACCTATATCTAGTACTTGCTGCTCACGCGCGATTTCACCCGCTGCACGGATCCATTTAATGGTAGCGTGATGTTATATAGCCTATAGCACTCAGGAACATTGTAGCTATCTATCAGTGAAAGAATTTTGGAAATCGACCAGCGTCTCCAAAGATTATCCCCTACATACAAACTTACAAATTTTACCTCTTTATAATATTAGTATAGATATAACTTATATCTACTTATAGCTACTATATAAGTACCTATATATACTAACGGTCTCACTAATACCTATTACTGAATATCAGCCTAATATTAAGACAGCAGATTTTATATTCTTTTATCATACTCTTTTTTTTTTTTTTTTTTTTTTCTGGTGTCGGTTTGGAAAATCCTCATGGAGACCCATCGCCCTCGGGGAAGGGCGAAGGGTACTGTCAGACTCTTACTGACTAAAAACCAACCCGGTGTTACTCCAATAACCCATGTGTCGGAGGGGCGGGTATCGCCGAAGCATTCGTCGCATCCCCCCGACGGGTGTTGGCCCGCCAGATGGTAAGGCGGGCCCCGTCACCCACTGCGGCCGTCACCCCGACCGCAGGACTCCACTATGAGGCGCGCGCGGAACACGGCGCCGCCGCCTCGAGGCCTGCTGCTGGTCAGACGACAAGACGCCCCGAGTCTGTCGTCCGCAGGCCGCGCCCTACGGTGGCCGCAGGTCGGCCACCCTACGACGTCTAGTGCGTCTGCTGCGGGAGGGGAGAGAGGAGGCAGCCTCTCTCTCCCTTTCCGCCGCCTCCTTTGCGAGCATCACGGCCTCGCAGAAGGTAGCGACGGTACTCCACCCTGACTCGCTCCCGACCATAGTAGACACTACAGCCGGAAACGAGAGATTTCCCGCAGTACCTACGGATCATACTCTACCTTCAGGTTAGTCAGCTGGTTCTGACATGAATACACAAATGAAATTAGTTCATCCTAATATCAATATTAGTTATAAATATGGCAATACGAATAAGTAGGTATTATTACTAATATTGTACGCGTAACACCTATGTATCTGAGTAATAGATACAGATATTTTTGAGCGATCTCACCTATGTATATTTTTTATGGGATATTCAAGTTGATAAATACTCAATACTTTATAGCATTTCAATGTATTTATTGCATTCCGCACCTTCGTTCATATGTTAGCCTCGCACTGTTTGTGTCCGTTGCAACAAGTTTCTTGACATAGACAGTATTTAATTCTTTATTTGAATTTGAAAAAAAAAATTCGCCCTGAAGGTGAGTTATTTTGAATAAATTTTATTTCTTTATTTTTTTCTTATAGTATTCTGTCTAGTATTCCATTCTTTATTTAAAAAAATAATTTCATTCTGAAGATGAGTAATTTTAGTTTATTTTTGTTTCCGATATTTTTAAGTTGTAGTGTTAAGTAACTTTATTTAGATTTTTTATTTCAAGATTAGTATGTTATATTTTTTATTTTTATTTTATGTATAAAGGACGCCTACGTTCTCGTACATACATACTTTCCCGTTTTTACTAAATAATTTTCTTTGTACCTACCTACGTTATATAAATACGCAATGAACGTGGGTTTCCTTTTCCTTAGATAATTTGTGTGACAAAATTTCATGTTTATAATATTTTAAATAGGCATATATTTAATGCAGCGACTAAGTAAAATGAATATAGGTTCTAAAAAATAATAGAATGGGTACCATTTATAATGGTTTGGCAACTAATAAGGAGTATCGTAAGAAGTAAAAGGTAGCATATTAATATATCAGTTATAAGCTCCGTTTTAAATTAAACTAGCATCAAGATTTTCTTTTGGGAACTGAATTAATATCTAAGCCAAAATTTAATGATGAAAATAAAATAGAAAATGGGCGTTCATAAATAATACAAATCAGATTCTATCTAAAATTATTTGTATGAAGAATAAATATAAAGTAGCTTATATTATACATATATTGTGCGACTTTTTAATAGCTTTAAATAAACTCTAAAATGGCATGAAGAATAAATTAAAAACATAAAAAGAGTAATTACTTTTATTTATTTTAAAAAAAATCACAGAAGACTGTAGTTATACCTAAGTAATAAAGTTACACAATAAAAAGTTACGCAGGTAGACATAATGAAATAAAAAAATATATTACTGTATTATTAGGGCAGGTTTAGATTTGGCATTGACGCCCTCGCTTTCTTTTTTGACCGATTGGAATCAATTTGACCTCTAAAGGCGAATTGGCTAGTTTCAACCTTATGGCAAGGCCTATTATATGTTTACACACATATTATTTATTAAAAAAATTAGGGCACTTGCACATGTCTTTCTTTCATTCTGTTTTTGGTAGTACAACTTTCCAGAACGCAAAGTTTTTTTCTTTGTACTCATCAAATGTATGCCATATTTCGTTATATGTCATATTTGTCGCCCTAGCTTTCTCACTATGTACTACATATACATTGTTTGTAGAATCCGATGCTAAAGTCTTTACTTTAATATTCTGCTTTGCCCAACAATATCCTTCTGCCCATTCTTTGAGTTCAATGTTGTGTGTCTCTGGGAATAAGTCTTCAGAGATTTGGTTTGACCATGGGGTGACCATATCACTCGCCACAACAAGGAAACGTGAAAGGGGAAAACTGGTAATTCACTAAAATATTACATAAAACTAAACATTAACGTGTTAGTTGCACACATTACTGGCGAATAATGAAAACAATAACAATCCCGCGCCCGCGCCGCTTGGTATTGGCTGGCAGTGCACCCACACGCACCCCGCCACCCCGCACTACACTCGTATCCAACCATCGCATCTTCCGCCGTTTTTACGAAATTATAATTAAAAAAATATAATAATTAACGCTTATTCCTTTTTATTATACTCCTTTTAACATTTAGAGCTGTCCGCAAAGCGAAGCCTGAAACTGGGTTTTTAGACGGAACGAAATAGTTGGTAATATATTATCTTTGCCACCCTACTAACATTATTAGTCGCCAAGTCATTATATATAGCTCCTCGCCTAATATTTCAATTGACTGGTATAGTTTATTTGCCACCCAAACGCAGGTGCTAGTTTTAAGTTTTTATAACACTCTTAATTTTGAACCTTACATAATATAATAGTCGTGAAAATATTTAATTGCTGGCAAGTTATTTTATTTGTTGCAAACATTTAGTCGACTTTTAAGTTATTAGTCACTCGGAAAATAATTAACTTTTTAAATACATCATACGTTGTTATTTTTAGGCTTCCGTGCTAAACTAGGAACCCTTTCAGTTTCGTCATGTCTGTCTGTCCGTCCACGGATAATCTCAATGAACGTTAGCAATAGAAAGCTGATGTGATTGATAGGTACCAATATGTATGTCAATCACGCCGACAAATTATGAAATAAAAAGTGGAAAAAATACTTTATTAAGTTACACCTCTACACGAGTAGGGAGTGTTTTTTTTATTTTAACGCCAACGTCTGATATTTTGTTGGATAGGTATTTTAACATGAATAGAAATCCCCCTAAGGCTACCCACTGACCGAAGTTTTGTGACTTTTTTTTTAAATAAAAATGTTTCAAATTCAGAGTTATATACGTTTATTCTCTGTTTAAAGTACTGGGCTCAAAAGTCGAATCGGAGTCTGGACTCTCGAAATGAAGACAAGTTTTTTAAAATTATTTAGTGCGATGACCAAGTCAATATATTTATATAAAACATTAAAGTTTTTTAGATTGAGATGCGTCCCTATAAGACTCTGTCAATTATTACATAACAAATTAATGCTTCGAGTACTGAGATTCCAGACACAATTGATTTTCAATTGTTATGGACCACGATTGTGGTCTTAGGGAGTGGACGTATTAAGACAGGAAGTCGCGTAAGTATTACACGGATAAGACTTGGTATTACATGGATCTCACAACTTTTTACCGAAGAGCAACTGAGTTGCGAGACTTGGTTTTTTTGACAAGTATTGTTTTTGATGGTATCTCATCTCTATTTGTGTTTTGTAGAAAGTTCTACTTTTTTCTTTTCGGTAAATTCTACTTATCTATCTACCAGCGACGAATTTTCTTAAAGCCCTCTCTCTGACTTATTAATTTTTCTTCTTTTTGTGAGCTTCATTTACAGTTTTTCTAAGAACCCACTCCCTGTCTCTACGAATATTTATCTGGGAGTCCTTGATGTTAAAATGTTTGAAAAATCTGGACGGTAAATGCTTCTTAGTCTGTTGTATTCACAAATTGAGGATTCCTGCGCTTTAACACTTCCAAAGTCGATATTAATTAGATGTAAACTGCCCAGACTTGTAACGAAAGTGCCACGTAAGCTTGACCGGATGTGAATACTGCAGAACCGATATCCATCAGTGCATTATGTAGACCTTGGCTTTTATGTATAGTTATAGCATAGACTATACATATGGGAAACTGTTCGCGATGAACATAAGCTCTATTAATAATTTCAAATCAAATTGTGGTAGCACTGGTAGCCTGATGTGCTTTGTCCGTAGGTAGGTAATCCATCCTTTGCGGAATTATTTGCATGACGGGAATTTTTTGCTTGATTTGGCAGGGGCACTACCGTGCGCCTATATTAATATGTGATTATGAAGTTATGTACCTATCTAGAAAACTGGACCAAAATTATTAGTCGAGTCGATCGAGTAAAATATTTTAGTTTTTCCTTGATTCATACACCAAACACAACTTATATTCCAAATTTGAAGCTTCTAGGTCTGCTAGAAGTGCCTTAGAATTTTGATCTGTGAGTCAGTCAGTGACTGAGTGACAAAATTAAGAAACTTTGACCCGTTATAATTCTTAAAGTAGTGGTTCAAATTGAATGAAATTTGAAATATACCGTGTCTTTACAATGCCTACATGGTTACTGAAAATTCAGTCTTCTAGTTTTATCCACAACGAAGATACAGGGGGTCGAAAATGGCCTGAATTGCTTCGAGAAAAGGATGGTACGGCCGTGCCGATTTTTTGCTCGACTTGGTGGGGGCACTGCCGTGCCCCCAGATTGATCTTTAACAAATATCCGTGAGGACAGAAATCTATGTATATTATACAAACAATTAAAAACAAAACCTGTCAACTTCACTGAAAAATTCCAAATCCTTATTTTAATTCATCATCATTCTTCTGCAATAGAAGTCTCGAATTAACACGATTGAAAGGTTAAATGGTGTTAATTTTTCTTCACAGTAACAATGAAGGTGTTACTACTACTATCCCTCCTGGCTGTGGCCTCAAGCTACCCTATCGTGAACACCTGGACCTTCTCGGAGTTGTCCGCGGCCATTGAGAACAAGAAAGCGGGACATGACATTTGGCCTTATCTTGCGTTAGCTTTTAATGAGATCATGATGGGACTCTTCTCTGGGAACACTGATGTAAGTTATTTTTTATTATTAATGGGGCCGTAAGCAGTTGATGTTGTAGTGGGACAATCTGCCCCCGTTCCCCCATCCACAATCCACAAATTCGAATAAAAAAAAATGTTTTCTTTATGATTATTTGGCTTCAATCTCACTTGGGTCACAATTACACAGGCGTTCCTCAAGGTACTATTTTAGGTCCTCTACTATTCCTACTATTAATTAAAGACCTAATGGAAGTCACAAATTATCCTTGCTCCCTTTTAGCAGATGATTTTTTAGTCATAATATCAAAGAATAACTAATATTATAACCAATTAATAAATAATACAACAAAAATTACGTATGTTGGTTCAGTGTTACGCTATGGTATATTGGTATGGGGTAACTCGGTGCATAGCGAAAACACACTAATTGCTCGAAACGATGTGGTCATGTGATAAAGTCATGTGGATTCACTTAAATCATGCAAACCATCATTTAAGAAACTTAATATCCTAACCATAACTAGTATTTATATTGAATAAATCTGTAAATTGTCAAAGTCTCACCCAGAGCTACTAGAAAAAGTAGGAGAGAACTGTAACTTCAAAACTAGATATTAAACCCTAAAACCATCATTACAGTCACTAGTCTGATGAGATAGGTATCTATCCACTAAAGGTTATTATACTACTTGAACATAGAGATACAGGTTACGTCACAAAGTATAAATAATATCAAAGATTTAATTTCCTCAGTCACGCACAGATGACAAAACAATATGTGGCCAGTACACTATGCGACACGGCGATGAAAAATCAATCATTTTATTATTATCATCATAATAATCTCGTGGCAGTAACCTCGGTCCATCACCTACATTAGAAATAAAACAAAAGGCTATTGGTTGACATTCACTTAGTGTGTAGTGAAATAAATCGAGTTGTTCTGACAAAGCTTTGAGTATACGCTTGAAGATCAAAATGAGGTCGCAAATGCAACACATCTGAACAACGGCTATGCTTCAGCCAGTATGGTAACTCCAAAAAAACTTATAAATTTATAAATTTCCAACAGTCAGTTTCAGTTGGTTTCAACATAAATTATGTATCTATCTACACATGAGTGGAAAGTGGGTACCTGTATAATTGTTATATGCATCTGATAAATAATAATTGCATTAATCATTTAATTTTTAAAATTAAACAAACGAACAACTGTTTCAACAGTACAAAGCTAAAGTCAAAATACATTTACTTGGTTTTGGCCAACTCATTGTTTACTTTCAGAAAAATAAATACGATTTGACTCCTTTTGAGATAAATAATGAAGTTCTGAGGCATGTTTTAAGATGTCTGATATTTATTATTTTGTACATACGTATATAGCGAATCCTATTAACTTTATGCTATATAAGTTCATCGGTAAATATATGACGGTTCTGAAAAAAAAACGAGTAAGGGTAGCTCGCCGCCCGACCAGAACTAGAGCCGAGTGTGCGGCGCATACTTGTAAGAGACTGCATCGATTAAATTAAAGCTTTTATGACTTAACCTGAATCTAATCATTATTATTATGATATTATATTACCACAATAATTCCACATTTGCCTTTGAGATGTGTGTGGATGTGGTTAAACAGATTCATTGTTAAAATAAATATTTTTATTTGACAGCTTATCGACGCAGCTATTCCATCTCCATCAGGAGCAGACACGTGGACAGTGGAGGAGGTGAAGGAAGCTCTTAAAGATCCTACCATCAAGCCTGATTATTTAACAGGTCTGCGGAGCGCAGAGGCCTTTATGAAGCACAAGAATGAAACTGGAGAATTAGAGGTAAAATAAACTGTAAGACAGGTAAGGCCAAACACATGTTATAGGACAACAAAAAGAAAAAAGGCCGTCTGCAATTTAGAATGTACAAGAAATAATGCTTTTAATTAACTACTTATTGAGGGGCGAGAATGAACACATCATTTTCTTGGTTTTGGTGAGGCGTTAGGAAGTGCCCAGCTCCTGCTTCGAGCTGGGGCCGAAACCATCTGCTTTGTGGATACAATTGCAGTGACGTATTTAAAGAGCTCCTATATGTTTCTATAGGACCGTGTGGAAGTATTGATACCCGCTTTGGACATTTCCACATGGACTGAATCTGACCTGACGCAAGCTCTGAACAGTCCCAGCACGAAAGAAGATCTCCTGCCTTTCTTGGAGAAGGCATTCAACGACCTGAAAGCGGCTCAGGAAAATTGTAAAACACGGGTATGTCTTTTATATAAAAATAAGTTTGAAACAAGTTAAATGAGACAAGATAATTATTGTATTCGTTTTTGGTATGCAGTTTTTCCCCTAACGAATTCGGTATAAGAATTTGGTAGGTCTTTGTCCCGTTAAAAGTTCGAGATAAAAAATATTCTGTCACTCTGGTATAGCTCCATCAGAGCAAGATGTTGAAAATGGATCTTGAACTGTATGTTTTTAAGCACATTCAATGCAAACAAACAATCTTGTTAATGCCCAATCCTTCCCCTTCCCCAATCCCTCCTCAATCCCTAAATCTCCAAATCCCTAAAAGGTCGGCAACGCACTCGTACCTCCTCCGTTGCGAGTGTCCATGGGCGGCGCTGATTGCTTACCACCAGGTAATCCGTCTGCTCGTTTGCCGACCTATTACATAAATAATAAAAAAAATGCTCTTTATAACAAATAATATGATTTCAGAATATCATCTACATGATGACTCCCGTTGGTCTGATACCTCCTAAGGACAGCTACCATTACGTATTGAAACCATCGAAAAATCGCATCAAGAAAGGACTTTAATTACGTAAGTATAGCTTGGCAAAAAATACTATGGAAAAATTTAGGTCGCTACTGTTTATCATATGGCCACCCCAAATATTGTGAGGCTACGTGTCTTGATACTTTCGATATTTTAATAAAAAAACGAGTATAATAAAATATATTTACTCTCTACAAAGGTTAGCTTATAAATATCATTCTTGGACTAAACAAAAAGTACAAGTCAAAGCTCCTTTGCGAGAGACTGGAGTCCGTACTAGGAAACCCTGTGTTACGGAGTATGGGTGTACAATAGAAATTTACAATTGTTAAAAAATAAATGATAATGAATACTTTTATTATTCAACTACGGCAAAGCAAAAGGAGGGCTATGATTTTGACAGGCTAATACTCAGAATTCGATTGCGCAAAAAAATAAAAAATATAAATGCATCTTTGACCTTCAATACCTCGAGAACTCGTGGAGTCCCAGCTATGGTCTTAAAGAAAAAAATGATCCAAATAATGGGTAGAATACGTGGCTTTCGGCTTCGCTAAGTGTCTTTTTACACCCTGTATGTATGATGTATGTTTATCTGTTCCCTCGTAACATCTAAACTACTTACCAGAATTCGACAAATGACATATCATTAGTAACGTCTTAATTGTCCGCTGGTTATGGGCTATATGGCGTATCACAAAATCTTATGTGGCGTCCTCTAGCGGACAAAATATTCAGAATCAAAAAATAAAGTTAAGATAAATATGCCGTGTTTTGTATCATTAGAAAGTAAAATATCATATATATATATATATAATATTACTAGCGTTTGCTTGTGACTTGTATTCATGGACCGATTGCATATACCTACATATTTCACATCATTACTTCATCAGTGAGTGCGTTGCCGACCTTTTGGGATTAGGGATTTGGAGATTTAAGGATTGGGCCTCCGGTAAACTACCTCACACGGCGAAATACAACACTGTGATTATTTAACGCTATTTTTCTGTGACGCCGTAGTATCAGTCTGATTGAGCTGACCCATTCGTGCCGAAGCATGTTTCTCCTCTCGCACTCAGTTGTATGAATCCTAAGTACTCACATTTTTTGCTTCTTTCAGAATGTAACCTGTCGATGTACGAGAAAAACGAGTTTGGACAATCAAGACTTGAGGTTTAATGTTCGATTTTAAATAAATAATAGCAAAATATTAACTAGTTTTATTTCAAAATATTAACTTGTTTATTCGGCAAATTGAAAACTGTCTGTGTCACGTCAACATGAATTTACAACGAGAAAAATTTCGTGCAATGATTTTTTATGCCTTTCGATGTCATTTAAGTAAACAAGAAGGTTATGATCACGGTTATGATAGACTACGATTGGCCTTTCACGATAAAGCCTCATCTCGTGCGACTGTTTACAAGTGGTTTAATGAGTTTAAACGTGGTCGCACCAATCTCACTGATGATTTACGTGATGGACGGCCTTCTACGGCGACGACTAAAGATAACATCTGTGTTGTGCGGCGTTTGATAGAGACTGACAAAAGAGTGACCTATCAGCAGATTCGGACAAGCTTAGGCATCGGTATGAGTCAAGTGCACAAAATCCTCCACGAAAATTTAGCGGTCAGGAAGCTTTGCGCCCAGTGGATACCTCATAATTTGACTGGGGCTCAAAAACTCCATCGTGTGGTTTGGTGCCGAATAATGATTGAAAGATTTAACAGAGGTGACTCAAATGCTGTGTTCGATATACTAACAGGTGACGAAAGCTGGATTTACTGTTATGATCCTGAAACCAAAAGACAATCTGCTCAGTGGGTGTTTCCTTTCGAGGAGTTGCCAACTAAAGTGAAGGGAGATCGAATTGCGGGAAAAAAATGGTGGCCTCGTTATTTGGAAGGATGGGTCATTTCGCAACTATTGTGTGAGAGGATCAAAAAACAGTTTCTGCAGAATGGTACACTATCAATTGTTTGCCACTTGTCTTGGAAAAAGTTAGGGGAAAACGAACTCGCAGTAGGATCCTCCTTTAAATAAACAAAATATTACATTTGAATTTGGAATCTGTCATTTTTATATAATTTTTCATTGTGTTTTCTTATTTTGGCGCCAATAAATTGTTCAATATTTTGCGATATTAAAATGGAGTGGGGTGATAAAGAGAACCGAATCGCTGTGATTGCATTACACAAAGTGGGTATGGAGCCAAATGCAATTTTTAAAACTCTCCACACGCTTGGCATTAGTCAAATGTTTGTGTACCGGGCTATTAATAGGTACAATGAGACCTCCTCTGTTTGTGACAGAAAAAGATCTGGCCGTCCACGTAGTGTTCGTACGAAAAAGGTGGTCAAAGCAGTAAGGGAAAGAATTCGAAGAAATCCTGTCCGAAAGCAAAAGATTTTATCTCGGGAGATGAAGATAGCACCTAGAACCATGTCGCGTATTTTAAAAGTCGACTTAAGACTTGCAGCCTATAAGAGACGCACTGGGCATTTTTTAATGATAATTTAAAAAAGAATAGGGTAATAAAATCTAAACAACTACTGAAGCGGTACGCAAAGGGAGGTCACAGAAAAAAATTGTTTACGGATGAGAAAAATTTTACCATTGAGCAACATTTTAACAAACAAAATGACCGTATTTATGCTCAAAGCTCTAAGGAAGCTTCTCAATTAGTCGACAGAGTGCAACGTGGGCATTATCCGACTTCAGTGATGGTTTGGTGGGGTGTTAGCTATGAAGGAGTGACTGAGCCATACTTTTGCGAGAAAGGTATCAAAACATCGGCACAAGTGTATCAAACTACCATTCTTGAGAAGGTAGTTAAGCCCCTTAACAACACCATGTTCAATAACCAACAATGGTCTTTCCAGCAAGACTCGGCGTCGGGTCATAAAGCTCGGTCCACGCAGTCTTGGTTGGAAACGAACATTTCCGACTTCATCAGAGCTGAAGACTGGCCGTCGTCTAGTCCCGATCTTAATCGTCATGATAATTTGGACTCCCTAAGACAATCCATACGATTGGCCGTGAAGAATTTTCCCATGGAAAAAGTGCGTGCTTCTATTGATAACTGGCCTCAACGTTTAAAGTACTGTATTGCAGCCAATGGAGACCACTTCGAATAAGCTTTTTATGTTTTAAATTATTTTATATTTCTGTATTAAACTTACAACTTTAATGAGTTCTTGATTATTATCTATTACGTTTATGTATTTCTTCAATTTAATATCTTTAAACTCTGTGAGACTTAAGTTTAGTGTGATTAGTTGTTTCACGCCGGTTTTCTGTGAGGCCATGGTATCACTTCGGTCGAGCCGACCTATTCGTGCCGAAGTAATAGCTCTCTCACACGTTGTATATTATATTGTAGTCTGTTTATTGTATGTATACTTAGCCCAGTAACCTCAGAATACAGAACAAACCAGAAGGCGTCATCGCGCTTCAAACTTAAGCAACTAAAACCATTCTCAACTAGAATAGTATGAAATTTCTACGATTAGTCAATTTTGGCACGTGGCATGTCGTGACGTATTTACGAGTATCAATTTTAATTTCATTATGCCGTCTTGTGTTATTACTACGAGTAAAAATGCGACTGGAATTACGAAAAAAGTGGATAAGATTACATTTCATCTGCAAGCATCGACTGCAATAGTATATTTAATTAATTATTGAATTTCTTTTATCGATTTATTTTTCTATGAAAATGATGCGGCCATTTTGTGAGTGTTGTCATTTTTGGTGAAAATTTTACCCACTTATTTTTTTTGTGGTGGGTTATATTTTTGTCCATTATGGAGCCTATGTCATATTAGTTTCCCTGACAAAAAAAAATAAATACAAATCATACAAAGGGCACGGTTAGATTAATTTTGGAAACCATCTAGCCAGAGCATAGTTTGCTCAATTCACTTTGAAGAGATATATTTATGACAAAGGTGCTTTGAAAACAGCATATCCTACTAAGATATATCTATACTAATTATAATGCTGAAGAGTTTGTTTGTTTGTTTGCTAGAATGCGCTAATCTCAGGAACTAAGTAAATTAAGTAGACTTATAATCTTTAGTTCCGAGTCTAAAGACATATTAAAAAAACTAAACCAGCAAAAGGGAACGCAATAAAACCTTTGTACTTATTGAAGCTTTATTTTATTTGTTGTGTATAGTAGGTGTAACTAAAATTAACACAGCCAGAAATCGTCAACTTTTATGATACCTCTATGAAATGTGTGAACAACTAGTCTGTTGCATTTATCGTAAGTTTACCTATTTTGTTGGGTTTACTCGTATCTTATCCTCCTGTTGTAAAATTACCCCAAACCAAGGGAATTGTTCCACTGTCGGCAACACTACGCGGGTGGGAAGTGCGGCTGGCGGGGGGATTGACATATTGTTTTTGGACACATTTGACGACATGTAATTATGAGTGAACGCGGATTCTGGTTTGTTCTGTATTCTGAGCCAGTAACATAGTATTGTATGCAAGCAGTCTTATCGCACGAAGTGATTGTTTGGAGATAACGTTTGGATAGAATTACGCTAAAAGAATTTCATATTGGATTTTCTAGTTCAGATTATGTTGTTTTAATATAGTATTGCATAAAACTCATCTTAAAACATCGCCTCGTAATAAAATAAACTGCGGTATTAGAAATGGATCTCAAATTAATATGTATAATAATTTATGTAATTCTAAGCTAAAATATGTAGATTTTCCAGTAGAGTTTCAGTATTGTAGTGATAGACATTGTAATATATATAAACATAGACAAATAATAGATAAGATGTATATAAATATAGTTGATATTTTATGTGAGGCTGCGCATTCCTCATATGCCACCAATAAAGGTAGACGTAAGAAGCTGCTGGCAGGGTGGAATAAACATGTGAGCGGGGCATACAGGAATGCTAGGTTAAAGTTCAGAATATGGGTATCCAGTGGTAAACCAACTCATGCTGAAATATTTAATGAAATGACACAAGCTCGTAAAGAGTTTAAGAGTAAACTTAAGTGGTGTCAAA